AGGTGTTGCTTGCCTACATTCCTGATGAATAGATTATCTCAAGCATCATTAGATATTAAATATTGTATATTCTGATAACGCCTTCATAGCTTATCTTACCCAATTGCTTCGTCATCAAAGAGCATCCTAAAGGAGAACTTTGCTTCAGAGACTGGCCCGTCGGCATCGTATGCTCGTCCGCACAGAAAAATCTGCCCAACCGGCCAGTCCTCCCGGATCCACACGCGTCCGGCCACTGTGTCAACTCGAAGACTCGGCCAGGACTCAGATAAGCTTGGTTCGCTGCCCTTTGGATGATTTGAAGGTGTCGGATGGAACAGACTACCTGAAGCTGCAGTGATTACCAGTTGAGGCCGCTGGTTATTTACGTTCACCACTTTGACCAGAATGCTGAATATAAGTGGGGTATTAAAGGAGGAGCATTACTTCCGACTGGATCACACCAAAATAAGTTTGTCTGTAGCATACCTTCAATACGACATGTAGTCACTCAAGGTCGCATAAGGTGCTGACAGAGTGATAGTTGCATATTTTCACAATGCTATGAGTAGGCCCCACGAAGCCAATGAAGTAGTCCACTTACCCTTGCTTCCTAAAGGGTAGTCTCATCCAGAATGGACGGTTATTGAGCCCTCGCTTGAGTCTCATCAACCCTTTCAATTGGAATGAATTCGAGTAATGTAGTGTAGAAGTTTAACATGATACCGATACGCTAATGAGGCTTTGACGAGATCAAAATTTTAGTCCATCCTGGATGACAACATCTGTGGGAAGAGAAGCTAAGAGGAATTCAGTGTAGTCTTGAAGCCTACTTATTCAATTGTGGCACAATTTCAATCTCAGTCATGCGACGCAGGGTGAATACAGCTCTTATTCAAGATCTACTGGCAGTATCGAAATCTATTCAAAATAAAGGAAATCCTTTTTCAATGATATGCCCTTCTTGCCAGTAAAAGCATAATTTCTTTTTTAGAATTTAGTCACCCATGTTCACTTTTAGTTGCAACGAAGATACTTATTTCCGGTATTATCAGGTTTCGAGGTTATCAATTATTAATGATTTAGAATTTAGTCTCTTTAGATCGCTTTAGGACTGACACTAATACTGATACTCACGACATGTTATTCTGATCCCGCCAGGAGTGCTGAGGAGACCTAGGCGAGGTCGAAACCACAATCCAGTCCAGCCTAAATTTGGTAAACTTTTGGAAGGTAGGGTTAAGTAAAATTAAATGGCACTGTGAGGCTTACTAATCTCATTGTAAAAAACTCAAATATCAGTCCATAATTCTCTTTAAGCGATCTAGGGTAGCTAACTTCTTGTTCAAGAATTACTGATAGACTCGAAAAAAACTAATATAAAAAATAAGCTTGTTAAGCAAGTTGAATGGAAGAGGGTCAACTATTTGCTGCATCGGGAACTAAAACTAAAATGTCCCAAAGTTGTAACTGTTGCTTTTTGCAAATAAGTTCTTGGTTCATCCTCCAAGGGCTCAAACTAATCTGGGTAAAGCTTCCGTCTTTACTGCCATTGTAGACATTTTTAGGACAAGAAATCTTGTTTTAATTAAAATTCACTAATCACCAAGTTAAGAATGCTGGTTTTTAATTGTTAAATTTGAGAGGAAGCTTAAAATAACACTGAAATTATCTGCCGCATACCTTCTTCAGAAATTAGTGGCGTTTTACATCGAGCTTGGTTCTCCTTAGCACCCCTAGCTGGGTTCGAACCATAAACGTTTGGCTTAAGGAACAAATACGTTGCATCTGAGGCGTCAGGACCCTCATTTAAATTGCTATAATTCCTCTAGGTTGATAAAGAGATAACGAAACGACTTTTAGTATATATGGCGTAATGAGCTCCAATACAAACTCAATACTTCTCTTCACTTTATCAAAAGGAGAATGGACAAAAGTTCATTTTAGGATGCATGGCTTATTCCTCGCTTTTAGATTCTTTGTTTCACAAGGCTTTTTAATATATTTTAATCAATTCTATTGGAAATTTCTAACATTAATAACCCAGAGTTTGTAGTTCCTCGGCCAAACTCTTATTTGATCATTGCAAAGCATTGGCATATGATCGAATTATAAACGTACTCACATTATTTAGTTTAAGATGATGAAGAGTTGATAATTTAATTTTCCCACAATGCTGTGTGGGCCTCATGTTTCCATTTAATTTTGCACTCCCTTGATTCCCAAAAGGTATTCTAATCCAGGATGGACTGAATTTTCGACCTCACCCAGGTCTAATCAGTACCCCCAGCGCAACTAGAACCCTGGTTGTGGTAGTGCAGCGTATAATCTCGACACGTTTACCATACTGCCACATTGCAACAAGTTCCATTGGATCACAGGGCAGAAGTGAATAGCA